GAAAGAGGCTGAGAGATGAGGCACTTACTTAAGTCCACCTTAGATACATCCTTGGCTAAGGTGAGATTTGAACTGGAGAGTATTACCTACTCTCACAGCTCAGTCTTGAGGCACGCTTACTTGCAAGTAAACCCCACTGAGTTCAGTGGGACTTCGTCCAAATAAATGCGCTTAGGAGCACCACCTTAGATAGTAAGAAGCTCACTAGCACCTTTAAGACGAACAAACTTTATTGCAGCATAAGCTTTCGAGAAACACCGCTCTCTTTGTCAGGGAGCTGTATTTCTCAGAAGCTTACGCTACAATAAAGTTTGTTAACCTCAGATAAAGGTTCCCTTGCTCGAAAGCCAGTAGAGTCCGACTCTAGGGTTGCGGTGCTCATCTCCCTTTCAAAGCCGAAGATCCAGCGCTGTCCAAAGACGTTTCCGTGGTCATGTGGCCGGCATGACTAAACACCAAGGCGCACGGAACGCTGTTACCTTCCCACCGAAGTTTATCTTTATCTACTTGCAATTTCTTGCTTTCGAACTGCTAGGTTGGCAGGAGCTGGAACTAGAGACAGGAGCTTATTCCATCATGCGGCACACTCGGGTCACAAACTGCTGAACTACCGACCTTCCACAGCCTGCAGTTCAGCGTCTTAACCACTTGAGCCACCGCAGCTCCATTAGCCTCAGATACCTGCTCCTTATTCAACCCATTGTGGCCGGGAGAGTTCTAGTTTTGTGGCATGGTAGCTAATCCTAATAAAAGGTCTTCTGTGGATTGTGATTGGTTTATGGATTCTGATTACGGGCCAGTAAGAGGGCAAAGAGTCTAATTTGGAAATACCTGAATCGGCAAAGAGGAATGTGTCAACCGGAGGATAATGAACTAATGGGAGCCTGTGCATATGGGAACTGACCCACAACATGAGTTAAAACTATCGAACAAGGCTTCAATTGACTGTACAACACACGCCATCACCTTAAGTTTATCTCCAAAATGGTTAATACAATGACTATGGAGGAGGAGGAGGAGGAGGAGGAGGAGGAGGAGATTGGATTTATACCCCACCCCTCACTATCCAAAGGAGTCTCAGAGCGGCTTATATCCTTCCCCTTCCCCTCCCCTCCCCTCCCCACAACAGACACCCTGCAAGGAAGGTGGGGCTGAGAGAGCTCTTTCCAGAGCTGTCCTTGAGAAAACAGCTCTGACAGAACTATGGCTTGCCCAAGGTCATCCAGCAGGTACAAGTGGAGGAGTGGGGAACCAAACCCGGTTCTCCCAGATTAGAGTCTGTGCACTTAAGCACTACACCAAACTAGAGGAATGCCTTTGCTTTCTGCATTATTAGGAATCTGTGTAACTCCCTTAGTGTCAGGGAGATGAAAGATGAGCTGCTGGCCTTTGTACTTCCAATGGAGAAACACCAATTGTTTGCTTTTCTGACTCAGAGGGACAGGAAAGCCACCTGACATCAAAGGCATGGATATCTAATTGCTCTGACATTCAGCACAATGATGTCAGAGAAAGAAGGCCTTTAAAATCATGGCCTGCAACAGGGGTCTCCAACACGGTGCCTGTGGGCACCCCGATGCCTACCGACATCTTTCCTGGTACACATCTAGTGTTTTTAGAAAGTGGGCTTCTGATTGGCCACTGGCCATTTGATTGACCGCAGACGCAAGAGAGAAGTCCGGTGTGAGTAGATGAACAATATAAACAAAATGACACCGAAAACAGAGCATCAAACGTTATATGGCTCTCTGCTTAACACGAATGACACAGTACAATGACTTTCATCACTTATCATGTGGCAACCTTCAATGTATTAATGTAAATTCATACACACTTGAGCAACATCACTTCAATAATGCAGACCCCACCGGCTATTGTTTGCGAAAATAACTTTTTGAACAGTAGCAGGCTGGGTCCGCATTACTGAAGTTTTGCTCGTTCACGCTGGCTTCCAAACAAGAATTGCCGAAAGCATAGCTGTTGGAAGCACGCCAAAGAAGTCATCAAATAAAACCGCCTTCAATCCGTAGGGGTGCGTTGCCCTGCTGTTTTGTAAATTAGTCAGTGGAATTATTGCTGCTGTTTTGTATATCAATATTTGGATCTATTCCGTGTTTCATCTATACATACTTGTCTAATGGATGCAAGCCATTTTGAAGCGATTGTCTCCAATTCAGGAAAAGGGAAGAGTCATCGCTTTCAGAATTTCGTGACGAACGTTGTAATTCTAGCGCTATCTTGTTCGCTGCATCGAGCAGAGGAAACTTTTAGCTAAATGCCTGCTCCTTGACCACAGATGGTGCTCCAGTGCGTACAAATTTATATCAATACACTGAACGTCGCTACAGGATAAGTGATGAAAGTTATTGTACTGTGTAATCCGTGTTAAAAAGAGAGCTATATAACATTCGATTGACTGTGCAAATTTTTAGACGGGCTAGTTTGGCGGCAGCTGCTACCACAGCTCAAAGATCCTCACTGTGTGACAGAAGGTAAGCCGGGGCAACCGCTGTATAGCTGGCTCCACCTCCTGCGGCAGCCATTTTGTGGCAGCCAGGGCTATTTTGGGGCAGGAACGCACAGGAACGGAGTTCCGGCTGGCTTCAGAGTTGGCCATGCCCACTATAGCCAAAACCTCTACGCATGCGTGGCTAGAGAGGGAAGGCCTGGAGAGCGACCCCCCCAGTGACTCTGAGGCGGGCTGGCCGGGGGGGGGCCTGGAAGGACTGGGGAGACATTTAAATGCCTCCCTGTGCCTTCCCCGGCCTGTCCAAGGGCCAGCTTGCCCGGGCTTCCCGCAGCTGCGGGGCACTCAGGCAAGCCTAATATGCTAATGAACTGTGCTGTCAGGGGTGTGGCCTAATATGCTAACGAGCTTCTGCTGTTGGGTATGGCCTATTATGTTAATGAGTTCCTGCTGGGCTTTTTCTACAAAAAAAAAAAGCCCTGGTGGCAGCCATTTTGTGGTTGCACCCGCCATGCCGGTTTAGAACTCTAGAAGTGTCCACAGACTTAAAAAGGTTGAGGAGCCCTGGCCTAGAACATCTCTTTCATCCCATAACATACAGCCTGAGGAAGAGTATTGGTGCAGCTGAAAGCCTGCACTCTGCTTTTGTGTCACTGTCACTGGTCCTAATAAAAGATATTAGAAGAAGAAGAAGAGAAGAGATTGGATTTATACCCCGCCCTTCACTTGGAGTCTTAGAGCGGCTTGCAAACTCCTTTCCCTTCCCCTCCCCACAACAGACACCCTGTGAGTAGTGTTCCCTCTAAGCTGAGTTAGTGTGTGCTAACTCACAGTTTTTTAGCCTCCGGCTCACACATTTTTGTCTTTGCTCAGGAAGGATGGCTCCAGAGCAAACTAATTTATGCAGTAGTCAAATCACTGGCTCACAACTTTAATGCCAGTAGCTCACAAAGTAGAATTTTTGCTCACAAGACTCCACAGCTTAGAGGGAGCATTGTCTGTGAGGTAGGTAGGGCTAAGAGAGCTCTCTCGAGGACAGCCCTTGAGAGAACAGCTCTGAGAAAACTTATGACTGACCCAAGGTTCCACCAGCAGCTGCATGTGAAGGAATGAGGAACCAAAACCGATTCTCCCAGATTAGCGTCCGCGCTTCTAACCACAACACCAAACTGGCTCTTTCACATCACCTAGAGATCTTTTACACCACCTGCTACCTGATTCTTTTAACAAAGATGCCTGGGATTGTACCTGGGACCTTCTGCTTGCAAAATAGGCTCTTCACCTGAGCCACAGCCCCTCCCCAAAGCAGATGAGCACATGAAAGTGTTTTATACCGAATCTGACCATTGGTCTATCAAAGTCAACACTGTCTATGTTAGAGAATGAACTTAATATTTTGCTTTATGAACTATGTTTATTGCTACACACAATGGACTGTGCACACACACACACAGGCTCAGAGAACTGTGGAAAGAAGGTTTCAGCTACACAGTTATCAGCCTGGCGAAGACGCACACACCTCCATTATTGTGAGCAGTAAGAAACAACAACTTGAGCAGAGACAGCCCCCATTGCTGAATCATTAGTGGTCACGTACGACACATCACTGCTTTGTTCCTGCATTGGTATTTCCTGCCAAATGGACATTTGGTTCACAATGAGAATGGCCAGCTTCATCAACACTACAATGGAGCATCCTGACGCCAAGGTTTTCACACCTGCTCAGATGCCCTCCTTTGAGTAAGGTTTTAGATTACAATATTGGCCACTCCTTATAGGTCACCACCCCTCCCTACATGCAACCAAAAGGATTGTTTTTGGTACGGACTAACAGGTAGGTGGGTCCACAGGTTGGAACAGTTATCACCCACCTAATGGACCCACTATAAAAGGTAAGGACCATTCACCTGGCCCTTCCTAGGTAGCATCCCCCGCAACAACCCCTGTCTGCTTTTTACTCCTCTTGAGCCCCACTTGCTATCCCCAAACCCTTGCCTCTACTTTGATCTCTTGATCTGCAGTCAAGAGACCCACACGTTCTGGCTGGTTCTGGTCATGTGTGAACTCCCTTTAGTTTCTATTTCTCCCCATCCATTCTTCATTGGAACATCCAACCTGCAAGACAGAGAAGTATGGCCCATCATCACCCCCCCCAACCTGCTAATGCAATTGTGCTTGTTTTAATACTGTATTTCTAAGGAACTTGACTGAATGTGCGAGTGCATCAGTATTGTTTGTATGAGATTTATTTTCTTAAGTAAAATACATTTATTTTAACAACAACAGCCTCGAATCCTTCTCTGGTAACTCTTGGTGGGAACAGGACCTTGGTATAGTTGGCAAGGACCCATTTATAAATTGCCAATTTGCTGTAAATAAAGCAATTCGGCTAACATCTGCTCAGACCGGCAGCAGCTGTCCAGGGTCTAAAACCAAAAGACTTTCACATCATCTACTGCTAAGTTGTTTCAGCTGGAGATGCTGAACCCACGACCTGCTGCATGCTAAGCAGATCTTCCACCACTAACCACAGCCCCCTCCCATTCCTCTGACAGTCCCACACTTCCCCTGGATTCCTTTGACAGCTCCGTACTTTTTGCTCTGAGAGGCATCTGCTTTTGTGGCCCCCGTTTCTTTACTGCTTCTCGCGAAACCCTTTGCCGCTAAAAAGCCTTACGGCTCTTAAATCCCACTCCATCGGATATCGATCTGATAAAAGGGAGCACCATTTCATTTCCTGGTTTTCTACCCAAAGGTAATAATCACAGCTTTCTCGCTCAGGGAGGAGGGCCACTCCATGGACTACGACTGCCTCCCATCTCTGCATCCTAAGTCTTCTTCTCACCCCGGACCGAGCCCGTGATTGTGAGTCATATCGGCAATCGACAGTAATGGCCCACGGAGAGGAACCCAGTGGCTACAAACAGATTCCTGTGGTGGCCGCCTGCATGGAAGGAACATTACAGGCATTTCTCTACATCTGCTCGGATGGTCCCCTGCAGCGCGGGAAAAGCAAACTCCTCGCTTCTCTGCTATTATAACTTTGGAGCCGTCGGACGCCGATAAATTGTTAGCTTTCATCGGGCTATGAATACTATCACAGAAACATCCCCAAACTGATATTTTAAAATGCATGGCAACAGGAATGAGATATGCAACGGTAGAAGGGAGGGCGAGAAAATATGTTTTTTATATTTAAAGTAGGGTCTGAAATTGATTTTTTTTGGGGGGGGGAAGAGGGTGCCCGAAAGCAGCGTTTGAGCTCGGAAGCTGGTTTTAAAAAAAGGTCCGTTTATGAAAAACAAATTGGAATTATGTGATATTTCATAAAGACAGAATGAGCGCTTGCCTGGCATTGTAAGTGGAAATGCTTCTACCCCATTTAAAATTTTTTAAAAGTATTTAAAAGTTACAAAATGAAGTGCGAGATGAGCTCCATCAACAGCAAACTATGTGAAATATACATGTTCAGAGGGACATTTTGAGAAAGGGATAGGATTGCAGTATAACAGAATGATTACAGAAGATTTCCCCCCCCCCAAAGGGAATATACTAATATGTATACTCTGTTGCATTCCGTGCGCCTTGTTGTTTAGTCATGCCGGCCACATGACCACGGAAACGTCTTTGGACAGCGCTGGCTCTTCGGCTTTGAAATGGAGATGAGCACCGCAACCCTAGAGTCGGATTCGACTGGCTTTCGAGCAAGGGAACCTTTACCTTTACTATACTCTGTTGCAGTATGCTTTTATTTTGTTCTCGCTGCATTATATTTCTACGTACACAATACCAGTTCTTGCATTATTCAACATGTCACGTTTAATCCTTACGTCCTGTTTCAGACTTCTGCTATCCCAGTCCTATTACATTGTTTGTTAGACAGTTCCTCGTTTGATCGATCATACTGCCTTACATTACATAATCCGCCTTGAGATTCAGTGAGAAAGGCAGACGATAAATAAAATAGACGAGTAGAGCACAGGATAGCTCAGTGGCAGCGTTTTCAAGGAAGAGCCAGTTTGGTCTAGTGGTTAAGAAGGCGGACTCTAATCTCGAGAACCGGGTTTGATTCCCCACTTCCCCACTTGAAGCTAGCTGGGTGACTTTAGGCAAGTCTCTCAGCCTAAAAATAAGCATAGCTCGCCACCTAGTGGTGCCAAAACCAGCTACAGCTTCAGCAGCCAAACAATCCCTTCTGGGATCTCCTGGCTATTCCACACACAATGCTATAAGATAATTAATTAATTAATTAGCATTTTCAAGAATGCAGATTTAAGCAACTGTTACAACAGCCCTGTAAGGTATTGCTCTCGCAGTACTGCTGGAATGTTCCAGAAAGTGGCTTTGGTATGAAGGCCGCTGCTGTAACGACCAAGCACAAGCAGAGAAGCACTTACCAAGAATGTGAGGGGAAGCCTCGTCTTCTTGGAGAGACACATGTCTAGCACCCGGTGGGATGTCAAACATCTTAAGGTACCCTTTGGCATGTGCAGTAAAGGCATTGGGAGAAAGCAGAAAGAAGAAAGGAAACAAAAAAAATCATAGCTAACGTTAGTCGGCGGCAAGAAGAGGCAGGTCCCATTTGCAGATGGAGAACATCCATAGGCCCACGAAGAGTTCTAAGAAAAGGAGAGATAGGTTGGCCGCGTTGGCACAATTAGGCAGTCTTGCGTTTCCTTCCGCCGGGCACAGAGGAGGAGAAAAGCAAGCTCGTCTTATTGCAAACCTATCAGCCACTTCGGTTGTTATGGCGACCGGATGACCATAACGATTTGGATCATTTAGGGAAACCATTTATGCTTCCTGCGGTTTTGTGGAAGGTCAACACTGAAGTTACACAGCTCGCTGGGTGACCTTGGGCCTGTCACACACTCCAACCGAACCTACCTCGCAGGGTTATTGTGAGGATAAACCAGAGTAGAAGGGAATTACATCAACCTCTTTGGGTGCCCCACTGGGGTGAAAGGCGGGATATAAATAAATAAATGAATAAATGTGAATCATGAAGAATCCGTTTGTTTTTCCACTGACTGAGATCAGAGGATTGTGCACGTGTTAACTGACTGACTGACTGACATACTTATTTGATTTATTTATATCCTGGCCTTCTCCCCAATGGGACCCAAGGTGGTCTGCATCATTCTCCTCGCCTCCATTTTATCTTCACAACAACCCTGTGAGGCAGGTTAGGCAGAGAGCGTGTGACTGGCCCAAAGTCACTCAGTGAGTTTCCATGGCAGAGTTGGAATTCAGACCTGAGTCTCCCAGGATCTGAGTCTGACACCCTTCCGAGTGACCCAGGGCTCTTTTTGTAGCAGGAACTCCTTTGCACCCCTAATGTAGCCAATCCTCCAGGAGCTTACAGTAGCCCCTGTAAGAAGAGCTCTGTAAGCTCTTGGAGGATTGGCTACATTAGGGGTGTGTCGCCTAATATGCAAAGGAGTCCCTGCTACAAAAAGAGCCCTGCGAGTCCCGCTATGCCACACTGGTTCCCAGTGAAACTGCTGCAATGGCTACTGGAAACAAAATTCAGCTCACTGAGGATCTCGTATGTCCTTTTTTAAATTATTTTTTTAGCGAACGGATGACAGATGGATGGAGGCACGATACGTTCTCAGCCGATTCTGTCACTGGAATCGACAATCAAGAATTCCTCACAGGAAGCATAAAAGGTTTGCCTGTACGGGTTTATTTTTTGCAAATGAGCGTAAGTGACTTCCCAGCAATGAGACAGGCAGCAAAAAAGAAAGAACGGTCTACGGTGGCTATGGATGCTCAACATTCTGCAACTGGGTGACACTTACCCAGGATATTTTTAGATTCTTTGGTTTCAGAAACAGAGACATCGCGGGCTCCTTTGGGCAAAGTGAACGCTCCTCTCGTCTTCCCTTAAACAGAATGTCTTTTGTTAGTGACCGGGGCACTGAAGTCTTGAATTTTCATTGACTAGCTTCACACGGGCGACACCGATCCGTCAAACGTTCACGTATCGTCACCCGCACAACAGCTCTGAAGCCATTCTGCACGCAGTCAATGAAAAGCTAAGACTAAAACCAGAGCCACGAAAAATGAGTCGGATACTTGCAGATTTGGTTTTCCAGAACCTCGAGCTCCTTTTGGCACCTCTTGCTTAACTGCTTCCCTGTTGGAAGAGGTCGGTTAAACTTGCTTGGGGGTTAACTCCTGGAATGCCAAATGAAATCTAATGATAAAAGGCGAGACATCCCTCTAGAAGCGAAGATAAAGTGGTCCGCTGCTCCAAACACCCGCCTCAAGGACAACCATCAACCAGACTTTCCCCCCATTAGTAGACTGGACTTTGTGAATGGTTCAGATATACATGCCCAGAACTCACAGCGACATAGCCTAGAACATCCTCAAAAAGTGGGTTGATCCAAGATCCTGCTGGATCAGACCAATAGTCCATCTGGTCCAGCATCCTGTCTCACACAGTGGACAACCGGTTCCTCCAGATGGCCAACAACAGGGCATAGAGGCTGAGCCCCCCCCCCAGATGTTGCCTCCTGGCTCTGGGATTCAGAGGATTAGTGCCTCTGAATGTGGAGGCTCTCCTCAGTCACCATAGCTTGTAGCTATTGATAGACTTATCCTCCATGAATCTATCTAATCCCTTTTCAAGGCTATTTATTCTTGTGGCCATCACTACATCCTCTGACAGCCAATTCTACATTTTAATTGTTCTGTGTGTCAAGTAGCATTTCCTATGGCCCGTCCTGAACCTACTGCCCATCAGCTTCATGGGATGCCCCCAAGTTCTAGTGTTTTGGGAGAAAGGCCGAACGGTAATGTGAACAATTCATAAGACGAATCCGTGTAAAATGAATAGGGAAGAGACCATTTCAGGTTGACTTCACACGGTCACGTGGACTGACGTAGATTTAAGAGTTATGACATAGACTTTGGACCCACATTTTCATGAGGACTATGACCAGGGGACATCTCCTGCAGGAGCGCACAGGAGCGGAGCTCCGGCAGTAAAGAGCCCAGGGGGCGGGCACATGCAACAAGTCCCACCCCCTGCTCCCAGCAGCCCTCAGTCAGAGCAAGAAGCAGCCAGGTAAGCTGCAGAGCCCCCCCCCGCCCCCCCGTCCAAAACAGTCCAGTGGCACCTTTAAGACCAAGTTTTATTCAGGTACAAGCTCTCCCTCCTCTGCGAGGACAGATCTGCACGTTCCCCCCCCCCCACCAAATAGCTAGCAATCCAAAACAGTCCAGTGGCGCCTGAGCGGTGGGTGTTGCCTTCGGACACACTTCCGGTGATGTCAGGGGGTGTGACATATGCAAATGAGTTATGCTAATGAATTATGCTAATGAGCTCAGGCACCTCTTTTCCTATGAAATGACCCCTGACTATGACTATCCATTTTATCAGGAGGGTAGGTGGGTTGGTCTGTGGTAGGAGAACTGGATTCGAGTCCGATGTGGTTAATGTGTCCCGTGCCCATTTTGAGTGTCGTGGCTCTCTTCTACCACATGTCTCCAATACTGCAGAATGTTTTGTGCGTACATCACACATGAACACCCATGAAGCTGTCTTATACTGAACCGGATCATCAGTCCATCAAGGTCAGTATTGTCTACTCAGACTGGCAGCTGCTCTCCGGGGTCTCAGGCGGAGGTCTTTCACATCACCTGCTGCCTAGATCTATCACTGGAAATGCCAGGGATTGAACCTGGGACCATCTGCATGCAAAGCAGAGGCCCTTCCCCTGAGCCACAGCCCTTCCCCTAATCCTCGCTCTATCTACATCCTCACTCTGTATCTGGACAGACTGTTCCCGGATACAAAAGGCAATTAGGGAGCTCCTGATCCTGAAGAACTCCACGCACAGGCTGGGGTCTCCATGACTGCAACACAGCAGCCGGACACAGAGAGATTAGCTTTTTTGACTTTCATTATTCACAGCTATAGCGCTACATGCACCACGGAAGAGTCAGGGAGGCGGAGTTATCCCTACCAGGCTTCTTTGGGGTCCGCGTGAAGGTCCCTTTTACTGTCCGGCAGTGGGAATTATCTCCTCCGCACACGCCACACTTGTCTTCAGCTTTGTTGGACCCGATTTCCTTGTCGCAGCCCACTTTCTGTGGAGAGAAGTTCAAGCAAAGCACCGGAACTCAGAACTGTGGGAGGTACCATTCGGAAAAGCACAGAATCCAGCTCGTATCTGCTGCCGTTATCAATAATCGTAAATAGCAGGCTCTCTGTACTCTGCAACTACACTCTGTGGGAATCAAATCCCCGGGCCCAGCATTCAGCATCCTGAGACTCTCCATTTTTATTAACAAAAATAGAGATGCAAGCTGCTAGCCCATATGGCTGGTGAAATTCCAAAAACCAAAAAAGGGGCTGAGCAGCAGGTAAACGCCCTTTCCCTGGACTGAAAGAGGCAGAGATGACCAAAATAATATGCAGCTACCTGGCTGAAGGTATGTTCCTCATACAGGTTGTGGAATTCTGTTTCCCAAGTTGTGCAATACAGATTTCTTATTTCCCCCCTCCTCATATGCCTAAATATCGGCCCTGGTTATATCGTCAAGGGAAGGCCTCGGTTCCTGTACCCTAATTTTGGTCCTCCAGAGGAACTTGCTGGCCGCTGTGTGAGACAGAATGCGGGACTAGGTGGACCACTGGTCTGATCCAGCAGGACTCTTCTTACGTTCTTATTTGCTGGACTTGGTAACAGGAATGCTAAAGGAACCCTTTCTCTTTTCCAAATCCATTTGCTTGCGAAGGAAAGCAAAATGAACAAGACTCATGGTAAAAAGCTATGTCATGAAAAGTTTCTACCGCAATGAATACATGAAGCTGTCTTATTGTGAATCAGACCCCTGGCCAAGTTCAGTATTGCTACTCAGACTGGCAGCGGCTCTCCAGGGTCTTAACTGGAGTCCTTTCACATCTTCTACCACCTGATCCATTTAACTGGAGACGCTGGGGATTGAACCTGGGACCTTCTGCAGACCAAGCGTGGCCCAAATCCAAATTATGGTCTTTACACTATCAAAAAACTCCGTGTTGACCAATAGCCACTAAGAACACAAGAGGCTCCATGTTGGATCAGGCCAATGCTCTGTGTCACACAGTGCCCAAAACCCAGGTGCCATCAGGAGGTCCATCAGCAGAGCCAGAACTCCAGAAGCCCTCCCACTGTTGCCCCCCATGCACCAAAAATACAGAGCATCACTTGCCCCAGACAGAGTGTTCCAGCTGTCCAATGATATTTGTTTGCTAATGATATTTAGCTTCCCCGACTGCCCTGCCCGGGAGCCGCACAATAGGTGTGAAAGAGCCGCGTGTGGCTCCCGAGCCATAGTTTGGCCACCCCTGTTCCAAAGGATCTTTCTAAAAACATTCATGGGAGTGGAAACATTTTTACACGACAAATTTTGAGGCCGCTCACAGCATGTCTTGGAAGGCACTCTAGTTAAAAGGAGCCACTTAAAAAGACCAAAACAGCCACAATTGTCACTCACCACACATTCTCCACGCACACAAATGCTGAAGGGGTCTTTGTAGGAGCAGCGAGTTCCATCGTGGGTCAGCTGTTTCATATATGCAACGTCTCCTGTCTCCTTGGACTGGCAGTAAAGCTGGCATCTCTTGGTAACTGCAGAAGGCAGGAATTTATTTGTTACTGAGTACCACTGTGGCTCAAGTGGTTTTAAGACGCTGAACTGCAGGCTGTGGAAGGTCAGTAGTTCAGCAGTTCAAGACCCGAAGTTGCCGCACGACGGAATGAGCTCCCGTCTCTACTTCCAGCTCCTGCCAACCTAGCAGTTCGAAAGCAAGACATTGCAAGTAGATAAATAGGTACCACTACGGTGGGAAGGTAACAGCGTTCCGTGCACCTTAATGTTTAGTCATGCTGGCCACGTGACCACAGAAACGTCTTCGGACAGCGTTGGCTCTTCGGCTTTGAAATGGAGATGAGCACCGCAACCCTAGAGTCGGATTCGACTGGCTTTCGAGCAAGGGAACCTTTACCTTACCACTGCTATCTCATGCTTCCTCTAAAACCGGGTTTCCTAAAGGGGTGCTCATGTGTACCAATCAGTCCTGCAGCTAGCCGGGGGGGGGGGGGGGCGGGGGGGGGGGGGTGTGGGTGAGGGGGGCTATGCCCCCACAGATATGCCCAGCACCCTCTGGAAGGATGCCAGACCCCAGGTGCGAACAGGGGTACCTTGGTTTCAGGTGCGGAGCAGGGTGCCATAGGAGGCGGAGCTAGCCACAAAATTGATACAGCAGGAGGAGGAGCCACACACCCTCTGAGAGAGGAGAGCCAGTTAGGAGCACGGACTCTAATCTGGGAGAACCGGGTTTGATTCTCCACTTCTCCATATGCAGCTGCTGGTGTAACCTTGCGTCAGTCACAAGTTCTTTCAGAGGTGATCTCTCAAGAGACCATATTAGGGAGACTCAGAAGTTGAATTGTGAATCCTATCCCCTCCTCAGCCCCACCTACCTCACAGGGTGTCTACTGTGGGGAGGGGAAGGGAAAGGAGATTGTAAGATGCTCAGAGACTCCTCTGGGTAGAAAAGGGCGGGGTATAAATCCAATCCCCTCCTCCTCCACTCATGTCCCCTGGTCCGCCTTTGGTGGTCACAGTGGACCCCCTTCCATTCTAACTAGCAGAAAAGCAAGTTTGGGTCCAACCAAGTGAGTTTTAGGGCAGAATTGGGATTTGTACCCACGTTTCCCAGATCCCAGTCCAACGCCTTAACCACTGCACCCCACTGGCTGTCAATAGGTTTGGAACACGATGTTCATGAACCTAAAGGACAGTTCTGCCACTAGAACTACAAATGTTATTTGGTCCTAAAAACAACGGCGGAGGGGGAGTTGAGGGGGATTAGGGCTGGAGTCCCGAGGAAGCGGTGGGGGACACATCCCCCCCACACACACTGTTTCCCCAATTGAAAACATCCCCTCCCCAGGGATGTTCTAAGCCTCAATAAGGTAAATAGGCAAGAACATGTACTGTGTCTGTCTTTTTCCCCCTACTGGACCTGTCTTTTTCCCCTACTAGGCCTTAATGCAACCTGAGGGGCATTTTTTGATCAGGGAAATAGTGCAAGGACCAGCGTTAACCATCCTTCTCCAGCATCATGGCCATGATGTATCAGCGTTAAGTTTTACCCATGCTCAGTAGCACATGACTTTGACTCGGGGCCCAGGGCTCTTTTTGTAGCAAGAACTCCTTTGCATATTAGGCCACACCCCCCTAATGTAGCCAATCCTCCAAGAGCTTACAGAGCTCTTCTTACAGGGGCTACTGTAAGCTCTTGGAGGATTGGCTACATTAGGGGTGTGTCGCTTAATATGCAAATGAGTTCCTGCTACAAAAAGAGCCCTGCGTGATACTGATACAATCAGGGTTGTTTTTTCTTTTTTAAAAAAAGAAGCGCCGGAACCCTCAAGAGGGCAATGACGTTTTCAATCTGTATACTGAAAACTCGTGAAATTTTAAACATTTAAAAAAAGAATTTTGTCAAAGAGGTTCCGGAACTCTGTTCCAGCGCATTCCCCCGGAAAAAAAGCCCTGAATATAATCATAATATCACCACATCAGAGTTGTTCTTTGGCAATGCACCAGTATAGGGGCAATGTTGTTCGCTCTTGCGAGGCAAACCCGAGAGTGTTAACGTTGTTCCTGGTCTCCTGGCTGTTCTCCCGGAAAGGTTGAGAACCTAGGTATTAAGCTAATTGCACAAGGCAGAAAACATCTGCTGCGTTCATCGTGAGAAGCTACCTTGGCAGAGGGACAAGAGATAAGGAGCTGTAAGGTTGAGATCAACACATTCCATGCCATGAACGTATGCCTGTAAATTTCCCTGACGAAGGGGGGAATAAAGGAGGGGGAAGGAGGAATTATTTTCAATAAATATCTCTGCTCAGCCTGGCGAGGGTCAGAGTTTTCCAGCAACCGTTTGCCTTGTGTCTTTTTGAACCCTGCAGCGTAGCACACCAGTACCATGGAAAGTGTGTGTGTGTGTGGGGGGGGAAGATGCAACGTGCTAGAATTGATAGCAATCTGCCCACCGTCCTATTTCAAAATTAAGTTGATAGATTCTCTTGGTTAAACTAGAATCCAGGAGGAATGGAAGGCAGCACGAGAAGACAAATCCTGCTATAGGACAAGGAAACATAGAAGAGCTACTCGTCCCCGTTTGTGTGGATTGTCATCTCATTAAAAGAAGAAGGGTTGGTTTTTACATCCCGCTTTTTTTCTACCCAAAGGAGTCTTGTAGCATCTTACAATTGCCTTCCCTTCCTCTTCCCACAACAGACACCCTGTGAAGTAGGTGGGGCCGAGAGCGCTCGGAGAGAACTGTGATTGGCCCAAGGCCACCCAGAAGGCTCATGTGGAGGAGGAACGGGGAATCAAACCCAGTTCTCCAGGTTAGATTCCACTGCTTTTAACCACTACACTTGGGAGGGAAGGCATCATGGCGTAGCTCGATCTTGTCGGATCTCAGAAGCTTAAATGAGAGACCAGATCTCAGAAGCACTTAGATGAGAGACCACCAAGGAAGGCTGTGCAGAAACCCCCTCTGCTTCTCACTTGGGGCGGCTGTAAGTTGGTGGCCACTTGACAACATGTACATACGTGACTTCTCTCCCAGTGAAGTGAAGCAAACAACCGAACCACCCAGACAAAGGGTGCGGTCACACTGTCCCTTTGATCGGGATTCGCCACTGTTTCCTCCCGCATTTAAAGTTTCTGTTCACATGCGCCGATCCGCCTCCCGCACCGAAGCAGGCTCACTCTCGCAATACTCGCGGGTTTTCCTGACCCCGGGAAAATCAAGTACTTTCCTGGCTCTCGCGCTTTGAATGCGCGATTTCACCTATATGGACAGCCCTCTTTCGCAATGATTGCGAAATGATTGCGAATAGGGCCATCTGACCACTCTCTGTAGATTGTTTTTTTTTTTTAAAAAAAGCAGGTGGTGGAGATGGCGCCCGAGCAGCACGTTAAAGCGTCCCGCGCCCCGCGCCTTCCTGCTGGCCCAGAAGCGCTGGGAGAAGGCGCGCCAGGCCGGCGGCGACTGGGCCGATGGCAAGGATGGCCCCGTGGCCGCCCAAGAGCAGCTGCTGCCGTCGCCGGATGGGGACGAGGGCGAGGGGGACAGCCAGCAGCCCGTAAGAGGGATGGCTCTTGAGGGGTGGTGTAGACATGCAGAACCGGAACAAAATATTCCTGTTTAAATTAAAGCGGGGACAAGGCGCATTTACAGTGCCGTGTGACCTAGACCAAAGTCTGCAGAAAGGGGACAAGAGCAAGGAAAGGGGACCGCTTACCGTCGGGATGCTCGTAGGGCAGCCAGTGGTGTTTGCTGCTCTGATACTCGAAATGCGAGTTGCGCTGCTGACACTGCTGAGCTCGGAAGTCTTCGTAGTGTTTTGGACATTCCTCCATGTTGCACAGCTGGTACTCAAAGTTGACGCCCGCACAGTCTCGACCCCCGTTCACTGGCCTTGGTGGGGTGAAGAGTTAGAGAAGAGATCGTATTAGGGAGACTCAGAGGTTGGATTGTGAATCCTATTTCCACCCCCTTCCAACTCCCCGCAAACTCAATTGCCCCATTTTGGCAGCAAACGCTAGCATGGTGCTCCCAGCACTTTGGAGAAGGAGGGAAGGAAAGGCAAAAGAAATGCATTAAGAGTTCTCTACCCCTGCAAGAATCATCTTCTCATCCCCAACCTCTATGCATCTTCCTAGGCAGCAAGTGATGGGAAAGACCTCAGCCTGAGAGCCGCTGCTAGTCGGAGTAGACAATAGTGACTTTGATGGACCAAGTAGAAGAAGAAGAGGAGGAGGAGGAGGAGATTGGATTTATACCCCACCCTTCACTACCCAAAGATGTCTCAGAGCGGCTTACAAACTCCTTTCCCTTCCCCTCCCCACCACAGAAACCCTGTGAGGTAGAAGAAGAAGGAGATTGGATTTATACCCCGCCCTTCACTACCCAAGAGAGTCTCAGAGCGATTTCCAAACTCCTCTCCCTTCCCCTCCCCACAATAGACACCCTGTGAGGTAGAAGAAGAAGAAGAGACTGGATTTATACCCCGCCCTTCACTACCCGAAGGTGTCTCAGAGCAGCTTACAAACTCCTTTCCCTTCCCCTCCCCACAACAGACACCCTGTGAGGTAGAAGAAGAAGAGACTGGATTTATACCCCGCCCTTCACTACCCGAAGGTGTCTCAGAGCAGCTTACAAACTCCTTTCCCTTCCCCTCCCCACAACAGTCACCCTGTGAGGTAGAAGAAGAAGAGACTGGATTTATACCCAGCCCTTCACTACCCAAGGGAGTCTCAGAGCGGCTTACAAACTCCTTTCCCTTCCCCTCCCCACAACAGACACCCTGTGAGGTAGAAGAAGAAGAGACTGGATTTATACCCAGCCCTTCACTACCCAAGGGAGTCTCAGAGCGGCTTACAAACTCCTTTCCTTCCCCTCCCCACAACAGACACCCTGTGAGGTAGGTGGGGCTGAGAAAGCTCTGACAGAAACTGCTCTTTTTCAAAAACAGCTGTGCCAGAACTATGGCTCGCCCAACTTCATCCAGCCAGGTGCAAGCGGAGGAGTGGGGAATCAAACCTGGTTCTCCCAGATTAGAGTCCGCGCACTTAACCACTACACCATGTGTTCATGTGCTCCCACATATTATAGTATTGACTCAAATGCAAGATTTACTGTTTACATAGTTATGTGGTTTAAAAAGAGAGGGTTGTCTTACATTTGCATACAAATGACAGGAATGTCCAATAACTTGTGTGTGTGTATAACTCTTTTGGATCTTTTTTGCATTTTGCATGCGTGTGTGTGTGCGCGCATGTGAGTGTGTGTGCACCTGGAAGTCATGGCGACCTCTGGTGACTGACCCCTATTGGGGGCCTGGAGGATATTCAGAGAGGTGGCTGAATAAAGCCTGCCTCCGCCTCCCAACTGCTGGCATTCCAAGGAGGTCTCCCACCCAAGTGCTTGCCAGGGTCGACCCTGCTTCGCTTCTGAGATCTGACTCGCCTGGGTTGAGCCACATTATTGTCATTTGATCCACATTATTGTCATTTTTTAAGGAGGGGTCATCTTACATTCAGGGTCATCTTCCTTTCCAATCAATACACGGTTATTAGGAACACTGCTGCCCTGACTTAGATGGCCTAGGCTAGCCCAATCTCGACAGATCTCAGAAGCTAAGCAGGGTCGGACCTGGTTAGTACTTGGATGGGAGACCGCCGGGGAAGTCCAAGATTGCTACGCAGAGGCAGGCAATGGCAAACCACCTCTGTTAGTCTCTTGCCTTGGAAACCCTATGGGGTTGCTATAAATTGGCTGTGACTTGATGGTAGGTAAAGGTAAAGGTTTCCCTTGCTCGAAAGCCAGTCAAATCCGACTCTAGGGATGCCATGCTCATCTCCGTCTCCATACCGAAGAGCCAGTGCTGTCGAAAGATGTTTCCCTGGTCATGTGGCCGGCGTGACTACACGCCAATGTGCACGGAATGCTGTTACCTTCCCGCCGACCCCCCCAATAGCTAGCAATCCAAAACATTCCAGTGGCACCTTTAAGACCAAGTTTTATTCAGGTACAAGCTCTCCCTCCTCTGTGAGGACAGATCTGCACGTGCCCCCCCCCCTCAATAGCTAGCAATCCAAAACAGTCCAGTGGAACCTGAGCGGTGGGCGTTGCCTTCTGACACACTTCCAGTGATGTCAGGGGGTGTGGCGTATGCAAACAAGTTATGCTAATAAGTTATGCTAATGAGCTCCTGCACCTCTTTTTCTACGAAATGACCCCTGTGAACTACCGACCTTCTGGTCTGCAGTTCAGCGTCTTAAACCCTTGAGCCACCGTAGCCCTCGACTTCCACCGATAAAAATGCTAATGATTCGCATCTATGTAGTGTTTTATGGTGTGCAAAGCACCCCACACATACTGCAAGGGCAGTGGATACAATTATTCCCGTTTTGCCACGAGGGACAGGAAGAACGGTGGCTGGTTTAAGATTATCTAATGAATCCATGTAGAATGGTAAGGACCTAGAGCAGATTTCCACACTCTGAATGATGAAGTATTGTACTGGAAGGTATTCTGGATTCGTATGACCACTGAAGACTTGGCCATAAGAAAACCTCTGTATGGGACCTTATTTATTCAAAGCAGGCGCGGCGGTGCCTAAGTGGACGGAGCCGGAGCCGCACCGGAGCGTACCTGCGCGCCAAAAGGGCCTGCCGATCCACCATCGGAAGACCGTGAGGAGAAGGAGGAAGTGAGAGCCGGAAGGAAGCCGGAAAAAGCCAAGCTGACCGGGAGGAAGAAGATCAACAAAAAAAAGACCTCCACAGGGTGCCGGTAGGGCAGTCCCCATCCCCAGCATATGTGGCCATAGGTAGGGATAAGCGATTAACTGTAAGCCGCTCAGAGACCCCCTGGGGGTTCGAGCGGGGTAGAAAGTTGAAAGATAAATAAATAAATAAATAATTTATGTATTTGTCAATTCCGCAGGGCCTGCAAGACGGAGCTCTTCCGCCAGGCTTTTGAGTAGGAGCCACTGCGACCGCTATTCCACCTGTACCCCCTATGCCCTGGCGTACTAACATCTGATTGCCTGGCCCCAAGGGTGGAGCGAGGTGCTTGGACACGCCTCTGAGGACAAGATCGTAGGACGTAGCTATGTGAGGTTAAGATCTCCCCTTCTTGCTGAAATTTGTTGTAATTTGTTATGATATTTTATTGTAATTTATTGTTTTTAAATTATATGTTATTGTTTTAACCCGGCACACAGTGCCCTTGTTAGCCGCCCTGAGCCTTCGGGGTAGGGCGGGATATAAATGTAAATATAAATAAATAAACCTTGAGAACCTAAGGCCTAGGAGAGGCCCGTACATGAGGATTACTGAGAATGGGTCAAAGCATCATAGACAGAGAAGGGAGAAGAAGTATTGTCCAATCACTCACATCATGTGGGACAAGAACATCTGTCACCAGCCCATCACAGATTAATTTATGTGTACCAGGCAGACGTTTTGCAGAGCAGATGCACAAAATGCACTTACAGAGTAGACCACAGCATATGAGTCATCCAAGAGAGACCGTGTTTAATGTATGTCAGTCATTTCTAGAGACAGGGAACAAGTGGTACTGGGTGTGTGTGTGTGTGGGGGGGGAGGTATTTGTGAATTTCCTGCATTGTGCAGGGGGTTGGACTAGATGACCCTGGAGGTCCCTTCCAACTCTATGATTCTATGTGTGTGTGTGTGTATACATATATTAGAACACAGGTGCGTGCCTGCCTTGAAGGGGAGGAGGTTCCAGTGTTGTTTCCTTCCTGGCTCTCAAGTCTTCATGCTTAGCTTGTTCACCACCCCCCTGCCCTCCAAATACAAATGCCTAGATCCAGCAGGTACAGAGACACTCTTCTGATTTACATGGGATTGTTGCACTGCCGTGTTCTGAAGCGGACGCCGGTTCCACATGTCCGTGAGCAGGAGCCGAATTTCGTCCAGGCCCCCCAGTTGCCATCTTGCTGTAGCTGGTTCGTATTCTTCCACATGCAGTGACCCTTGTAGCACCACTAAGGGAGGGGGAAAAAAATAACACAGGGTTTTGGAATGTATTTTGGCGTACTGTTCATTTGACCCGCACAGGATTTCCAAGTTGAATTCAAAGTGCTGGTCTGAGCCTCTGAAGCCCTCGCTGGCTTACATGAGCACTCCTCCGGGAATGCCCTCTCTCTCAAAGGAATTTCAGAAACAGACTGGAATGACAGACTGCTGAATTACGAGTTATCACAACACTCAGGAGAATGGAACCCCCAGGGCTTAACAGAGACATTGGATTCTTATCTCATTACATGTGCTATGTCACTCAGTTCTCACTTATACTGAGAATTACTTGGTTTATGATTATAACCTTGATTTATGATTGAAAACATTCAAAATAAAATTCAGTTGTACATCTAAAATGCCAGAATCACATCAATTTAAAATCTTAAAAGCTTGGTATATTAAACTTTGTTGGTCTCACGCAGCTGTTGTTAACTCTGTCGTTATCTGTATGCTAATTTGCTGCGATTCACAGGTCTTACCAAATGTGTTATTACAATCTTAGCTGTATTTATTGCCCAGTTACTTATGCATCTTGACTCTAACTAGCCCTTCCTGGCAACTAACCCCCTACCCTCTCTCTACCTATATGTAAGGCTTGGGGAAGTCTTGTTTCAATGTATCTGAAGAAGTGTGTGTGCACATGGAAGCTTATGCCCAGAATTAAGCTTCGTTGAAGGTGCCACTAGACTCACCCTTTGTTCTCTTGCTTTAGACCAACATGGCGACAGACCTTAATCCAGAGGTCATTTCCGGGGGGATCGCAGTCCCCCCGGGTGAGGGGCGGGGGGCGGGGCACATGACGAAGCCCCGCCCCTTGCTTCCGGCCGCCCCGCTTCTGGCCCTCATTTAGCCAGGAGGAGGCAGGAGAAGAGGGAGGGTAAGTTGCTTCCTCCCTGCCTCTCCCCACCCCTGCCTGCCTGGGGCCAGGGAGGGCCTTCGCGGGGCTTCCTCGTACTCCCGCCGGCCTTGCAGGTCCACCGCCGGGTCCCTCATGGGGCTC